AAGAATATCGGGAAAATGCTAATAATGCTGACGATAAAGTTGAATGATGAGTATATGGGAGTTTCTTTTACTATTCTCACTACTTTTATGCACATTTGAGATTTTCCAAAACAAAAAGATCTCTAAAAATGGTGTGATAAAATAGTGATTTATCCCTTATAGAATTTTTATACTTAGTTCTATGAAAATACCTTGTGTATGACTCCTTTCTTACTTCACTAAGAAAACCTCAATTGTCTGTAGAACTCTGTTGAAGACAATTCAGCAGGCCTACCACTGGTCTTACTATTCAATATTTCAATCTAAAAGACAAGGTGCTTGAAAACTAAATTTCTGTGTGAAAATTTTGTGACTACATTGAAACAATAAAGTTTATCTAGCTCCACCTCTTCTCTGTTTAGTATCAGTGAATTTTAACAATCAAGGGATGTCCTTGATTTCTTCAAATTATTAAAATGTGAAGTGTGGTCAGCTGTGGTTGGAAGGATAAGACCCTTTTGCTTTTTCTTCCAGTAGAGGGCTGCTACTGAACAAAAAAAGCAAAAATCTTTACTATGGAAGGATTTAAATCAGGAGTTGAAGAACAGTCTGGGTTCTTTGGGTGTCCTAATGCCAGCATATTCATCTGCTTCAGAACTTCCACTGCTCAAAATACCTTCTGGTTCTCAGACCACATAATACCAAGCTCTATAATTTCATAATTCTTGAACCTCAAATATGTGCTATTGGACCATGCAGAGAACTGTGCATTGTAAAGCATGGTCATGTTCTTCCTAGAAACCTAGCTTTACATTTTCCTCATCCTAGGGTGTATTTTCAAAATTAAAAATCCTCAGAAAGAGAAGCAAACCAAGCATACCCTATTACTAACCATTAACCTAAACTTCTTAATGTTCTTTGTGCTTCAGATGTTGTATGACATCACAGCGTTTTAAAATTTAAGAACACACATGTCATAAATAATGCTTTAAACCACATGATACAAAATGTAATGGAAGACCCAGCTGGGTAAAGAGCATTTTTTTCCTTTTCTTTAGGTTACAAAATTAGACATAAAAGATACTAAAATATTTTCATTGTTTTTCTTCCTAGCATCAAAGTTGTTTTTTCTTTCAAACTGAAATATCTCCTCTTTTCACGTGACAGAGTTTAGTCTTCCTTTTTATGGCAGAATATAGTAAATCGCTTAGTTGCAATTGTTTGTTGTTCTAAGTCTTGCATGGCACTTAATGAATCCAAACTCCCTGGCTTCCTGCTCCACGGGTCCCCACAGCTTTCCAAGGTCATGTGAGACCCTGAGTTGGCATCTCTATGCTAGATGGGCATGGAACCCAGCTTCTTCCACATGGCTTAGGTACCTCCTGTCTCCAAAGTGCATATCAGAAAAGCATAATTCTGGATCAGGTTTTGATGATTGATAGTCATTATTTAAAAGTTAGGGACGTCCCTGGTGGCAAAGTGGTTAAGAATCCACCTGCCGGGGTAAAACAGGCATAAAGACACAGACCTACTGGAGAACAGACTTGAGGATATGGGGAGGGGGAAGGGTGAGCTGTGATAGGGCGAGAGAGAGAGATGGACATATATATACTAACAAACGTAAGGTAGATAGCCAGTGGGAAGCAGCCGCATGGCACAGGGACACCGGCT